CACACACACACACACACACACACCATGAGGAGATAGTGTAACACATTTTAAAAGTCCTTCCAGTGCAGCCAAAACAATACTTACAACATAATTATTTTCCCCATTACCATGTGATTTCAGTGTGACATAATATCAGTTACCAGACTAACTTCATCATGAAAATGTACTTACTGCAAAGTGAGGACTGGAGGAGTTAAACACTGTGACCACCTGGTGTACATCTGACAAATATACCTTACATGCTGGGGAAATTTGGACACAGAGTAACATTTTCTAACTTCTGGTAACCCTCAATGCTATAAAATAAAATATGGTTTTCTAACAAAGAGAGTTAAAATTAGTTTAATGGAAATGTGCTTCATACATTACAATGGTGCCACCAATTCCATCTGTATCTTCTGGAAGGAAGTATGATGTGTGCTTTCCAAGGTTTGAACAAAGCCAAGAAACATGGCTTTATTTTAAACAGATGTGTATGAATTCTGTTTAGTGTTTTCAGGTATTTTTAGTCTAATGCACTCAGCTATGTTTTTTTTTAAAGGTGCAAATGTAAGAAATGAAGAAATATCTTTCTGGGCCCATACAAATGTCCATTGCTGATTTTATTTTCCTCCCCATTTTTTTAAAGCAGGCAAATGCATGGCAATTGGCAATTGAGATTTCCCATTTGTCCCATGCTCATAGACAAACCAATTTGTATTTTACAATTTATAGTGTACTTTTTCTTACACAGCATGTGTTCTTTATTTTCACATCAATCCTGGGAGGTTAGGAAGGACTGTAGCCATTTTCAAGAGACAATACTGATTCTGTGGGATACTGATCTTGCTTTAAAAAAACACACCCAGTGAACCAATGGCAAAAACAGTATATGTGACTTTATGTTTTCACTGTGGAATTATTATCTTGCTATAATGCCACCTAAAAGGGATTGAATGGTAAGGAAATCCAAAGGAAGGCCAGTATGCTTGCACCCCAATGATTTCCTTGTTGTCTAAGTATGGGGCCCCACTCTAGGTTTCCTCTTTTGGAGGTTTTGGAAGACAATCTCAAGAACAAAACCTCTTCTTTGCCTAGGATGGCATTTCCCTCACAAACGGAGAAACTGAAGCCAGGAGTGAAGTCGTAGGCTTTCATGCCAGCCACAGATGCTGGCGAAACGTCAGAAAGAAACTCTTCTAGAACATGGCCACATAGCCCGAAAAACCCACAAAAAACTATGAAGCCAGGAGCATCACTAGGGGTGTGTGGGGTATGTGGACCACACCAGGTGACATCCTAAGGAGAATGTGACACCACGGCTCCCCAAACATCTGTTTTTGGGCAGAAAAAGGCTGTCATGTTCACTTGCGTTCCTTTCAAACACTAAAGAAATGGTGTGAGTGGGGCAAGGCTCAGTGGGAAGAGAAAGACGAGGCTCCAGGTTTTAAACAACAATTAATTTTTACAAAATTTTAAATTCTTTTAAAACTTTCTTTAAAAACATCATATCTTACCACATTTTCACTTTGACCACATGGAACTATGTACATATAAATACATTTAAACTGTGAGTATGATATTGTGATTTAAAAGTATTGTTTTAATTTTGCTAGTTGTTAATGTCACAACTATTGCCATTACAGTCAGTGATATACAGCAATTACAGTTTATGAGTATTATCAGTACAAAAAAAGAGGACATTACTAAGGATTTTGTATGTTGTGGTAAGAGAGGAGGCCAATGTGGGGAGTGAGAGCATGAGTTACCACACCAGGTGACACTGACCCTAGTGATGCCACTGATTGAAGCATTTCTGGGCATGGCTTGATGCTTCAGCATGCTTGGCTGTGTAGAAGGCTTCTGGGAAAGGAATACTTCCCCAGTGGCAAACCCAGAAGAACCCAGTCCTGTTTTGACTTCAAACCCAGCACCCCAGCAGGAACCTTCCCTCTCTGAATATCCTCTTTATTCCAAATATAGGGCTGCTGTAGTGTTACCCTTTTTGTATGGGTCTGGTAGAGCCTCCACCAACAGTTGCAATCTAGTTTTAATTAATTTCCATCAATGTAATTATTTTGGTAAAAGTAATGTGCAAGATCCAGCACTGGCTATACCAGTACTCGCTATGGAGACCCAGGCTCAGAGATCTATGTATCCTTTTATTAAGAAAAGTAGAAAGTAACACACACACAAAGATAACTCATTCAAATATGCAACATACAGAGCTAATCAAATACAGAAACTTGAAAGGGGACAGAAGAAACTGTGGGTTGGATGAGACTATAGATACCTGTTTTGGAAGACAAAGGTCCAGGGAAAGTTGGGAGGTATGAAGATGTAAGCCAGGAGGCTTGGGATTGCAGGTTTCAGGAAAAGCAGAAAGCGAAGGATTCAGATCAGGGTCTGAGGACAACAGTCAGTGTGCATATGGGCAAGCTGGCTCCCAAGACTGTAGTGCAGGGGTTGGCAACCTTTTCTTACCTGGGGCCGGTCCCTTTTGGCGGTCCCTTCCGGCAGGCCGGGGGCTTCTGAGGAAGAAAAAAGATGGGTGCACTCCATTTAAGAGCACACCCTCATTTCTCCTCTCCCAACCAAGCTGAGACCAGCTCCTTTCCTATGATCTGAATTGTGTCTCCATCCCTCCCTTCCCCCTGGTAAGTAACAGCCACCAGTCAGTGCAAAGATGTGAAACTGCCCATGCTGAGCTACACACACATGTAGGATTTTGGCCTTTGTATATCTCACTTTGAGCTCCTCATGCCACTACCTTGATGGCCTTTTGCAGGGAGTGGGGGAAGTTCTCCCATGTGTGGAGAATTGCTGGCATCATCCCAGAATAAAGTTTCTTTTCAGACCCTTGAATTTTCTGACTGATTGGCAGGGAGTGGGATGTTACCATCTACCTCCAGTGGTCTAAGAGTGTATGGGTTACCTGGTGCACCTGCATGTTTCCCTTAGACCTTCAGGAATTTATGCAAAGCATTTATGCTTCAGGCTCCAGTCCTTCAGGCATTTATGGGAGCACAGAGTTTATTCTCTTGGGGTTTTTTTCTGACGCTAAGGGGTCATTCACACATATTTTTTGAACGAAGAGAATCACATCTCTGTGCTGATTCAGAATCAATTCAGAATTGGTTCAGTGTTCCCACTACAGGGGGTTGCAGACTGCCAGAAATAGTGCAAATTGAGTCCACTTTTAGGGTTAGGGTTAGTGCTAGGGAATCATGGGAACTGTATTTTATTGTGGCACCAGAGCTCTCTGACATAGAAGGCTCAATGTGTCAGAAAAAAAAACAATTCCCATGATTCCCTAGCACTAACCCTAACCCTAAAAGTGGACTCAATTTGCCCTATTTCTGGCAGTCTGCAACCCCCCCCCCATGTTTACCACGATTGAATCTCTCCATGCCATTTTAACCCTGTTGCTGTTCATATTTGCCACCATATGATTTAAAATGGAGGCACCTCCATTTCCGGGAATGATGCAGCATGATCCGAATTGATTTGGTAGCACGATCACACTACCAAAGATGCGGATCATTGCAGCTCTTAAAAAAAGAACAGCTAAGTCTGGTGCAAAATGCACCAGTTTAAGTGGCCTTTTTGGTTGCCCCCCCCCCAACTGCACCAATTGCAGTCAGAGCGACTGTTGGTTTATTTCCGTTCCACACCAATTTATTTCCGTAGTTTGAATGGGGCCTCTGATACCCTCCGTATCACCAGAGGTCATTTCTAGGTGGTGATGAAGCAGGTTTTCAATAAGTGTGAATCTGATTCATTCAAATCTGGTATGATTGATTTTGATTCAGGGCTGCATCATATTCCTACAACAAAGAAGCTCTTAGACAGGGCTCATATTGTTGCTCATATAGCCCAATTACCTGTGTTTTGGAGGTCTAGAATCTATAACAGGCTCTAGGAATGCAGAAATTTGTTATTTGCATTCTAGCCACTGAAATTCTGGGAACACGCACACCCTCTCACTTTAGATATAGAAGCATTGTCTTGCATACTGTTGCCTTCACATTACATGATTGTATATTGTGGTACCAAGGGGATGCTCAATAGATGGATACATATACTTTCACTACAAACAGCTGTTTACATAACAGAAAAACAACTGATGTGATGATCATTTGCTGTAAACAGCAGTGACTATGATTACACATCATGTTTTTTCATACTGAGT